CCCGTCTTCTGGAGGGTGGGGACAAGAACAGGAGGAGATGAGGCAGGGGGCGCGGGGCTGAATGCCCTGGCCTCTGGGGCTGGGTCTCCCCGCCTCTCCATCACCCCCAGCTCCCGGCAGAGGGATGGAGCGGCCCCCGCAGCTCGCGGCCGGGCCTGTGCCCCTCCCCAGCTGCTCTCAGCCTCTCCCTGTGCCTGCTGCTGCCCAGCCAGCTCAGGAGCTCCCTGACCCTTGTCCCGCTCAGGTGGCTACAAGGCTCTGAACGGAAGGAGGCTGGGTATCACAGGAGCTCCTTCTCCTGGTCCCTCAGCCAGAGGATACGTCTGGGTTGGATGATGGCCCCGTCCACTGGGGGACCTGAAGCCTCCCCGCGTCACAGTCAGGTTCACGCCTTCACACCATGTCTGAGCATCATCTTGCGCTCTGCAGGATGTGAGCCCAGGGTATGCGGACGTATCTCAGCCATCCCTGCCCTGAAGGAGTCCACAGCCCAGGGAACCGTCCCTTATTATGTGCCTACTGTATGCCACTTGATACATATCACCTCATTTAATAGCAATCCTCCAAGGTAGGGGGTTATTCTCCCTGTTTTACAGGCGAGGAAACTGAGGCTCAGAGGAGTTAACTTGCCCAAGAGGCAGAGGCCGGTCCATCTGCCTCCTGAGCCCAGGTGATTTTCATCTCCACATTTCAGAATGTGATTGAGGGTCAAATTGGCGGGCACCACGACTCTGTGCAGAAGTACTCAGGGAAAGGAGGGCTTCAAGGCCTGGAGGGATGCGGGTGTTTCCTGAAGGAGAAGGAGGTTTGGCCTGGGGTAGAGCCCCGAGAGAGAGGAGCGAGAATCGCAGGGGGCCAGGCTGGGCCTGGGACTACCATCCTGGGTCCCAGACGGCAAGGGCGGGTTTTGGGGAGAACTGCGCAGGGCTGGCTCTCATGGGGGCGTCTGTCAGGATACCGAGTTCAATCCCACATCTATCCTCCCCCACTTGGTGACCTCGGGTATGTTCCTCAACCTCTGACTCCCCCCTATGCATCCATACTGAGCCTTTGTGCAAATGAGCAAAAGTCTCCCCTTCTCCAGGACTCATGCCCAGCATGTACTGGAAAACAATCATGGCAAATATGTGTACTGATGGTAACCATGACGTGAGTGCCACTTCTTAGTGATGAGGTCCACAGCTCGCTCAGCTGAGTGTGCTGGCCCTTCTCTGAGGCTTGGGGGTTTTCCTCATTTGCTCTCGGATGGAGATAAAACCCCACAAAGAGAGAGTCCCAGGCCCTGGGCGGACTGAGAGGTGATGGAGGGCCGGTGGGTCCACCGTCCCTCCCAGCTGGCAGTGACCTCAGCGCCCGTACCGCCTGGGAGCAGGCCCAGGCCTTTCTCCTGTAGTGGCCCTGACAAGGACCCTTAATGCCATTTGCAGCCTTTTTGTTGATGGAGCCACATCCTCTGCCAGTTCCTGGCCTGTCCCTCCCCTTTCTTCCAGCCCCCCCATCCAGGTTTTTCCTCTGATTGTTCTTACAGTGACCTGCCGCTTCCCTGCTGGGGTCGGGTCTCTTCATCCCCGTCTACAGGCTCCCTGTGGCCATGGGGCCACCAGCTTCTAGCTCCCAGGATTTTCATCTCCAGGTGGCCCCCGACCCCAGCTCATGCCAGTTCTGATGGTGGGGTTCCTTATTCCTTAATGCCACGGCCTTGCCCCCGTATCTGCTGTGCCCTCAGTGTCTCATCCACCTGCCGGCTCTAATCTTACCTGGTGTCCAGGGCTGGGGCAGGGGAGCCCCTCATTCTCACCCAGTCTTTCCTGCCCCACCCTCAGGATCTGGTCAAGTGGGGACAGTGGCCCTTAGTGCACAGGGCCCGTCTGCTGTGGGTCCCCCAACGCCTGTGGTATTCCCAGCAAACCTGTCAGAATTGCCCCTCGGTTATGCATCATAACTCACCGTAGGACATCCCCCAGCACGTGTAGCAGCTTTTCTAACCTGCCACTGTCCCTACAGCTAGCCCCCTGGTCCCACCAGCTATTGAATTCCAGGCTGCTTGCCTGGGACAGGACCCATCATAGGCTGAGGCTCACCCCTCACCCAGGCCCCTCTCAGAACCCTGTCTAGTGGCCAGAGGTGCAGCAGCTTGCCCCTGCCGAAGTGGAGGGATCTCTGTGGACAGATGGCCATTCACTGCTGCCAGCCGAGGGTCCGCAGAAGACCGTGGGCCCCTCTGCGGGGGCGGGATGGTAAGCCCCCGGTGAAATGTCTCCTGGGTGGGCATCTTCGTGGCAGAGTAAGAGAAAGCGTCTTTTCTCACCTATCATTATCAAATTCTTCTTAAGTTCCCACCCCACCCCGGGAATAGGAAGATCACCTAGATCTCGAAGGTGCTTACAGTATAACAGAGGTAACTGACATATAAAGACAATTCTAGAACTACAGGGTCTATGCTGGAACAGACATGGGGTCAGGGCTATGGAAGCTCTGTGGACGGGAGATTGACCTGATGGGAGAGGGAAGGCCTCAGGGAGGAGGAGCGCCGCCCCATGAACCAGAGAGGGGTTGCCTTCTAAATGGAGGGTATGGCTTGTGCAGAGGTACGGGGCTTGAAGAAGCCTGTTGAGGGTCTGTGGGCAGTTCAGAGCGTGGCCTGTAAAGTGCCTGTGTGAAGGCAGAGGTGAGGGCTGAAGCCAGTGATATTCTCAGGCTGGGGCATGACATGACCAGAGAAGGATCAGGCTTCGAGGACCTATGTTTAAGCTGGTCTGGAAGCAGCCAGCTATGCTCTACAGGAAGTAGGGGCGAATGAATTCTTACTTGTGACCAAATGAGAATTGGAGGCAGCAAGAGGGACTCGGAGAAAGCCGAGACCCGGGCGATGCTAGGCCAGCCGGGCTGGGGTTGCTGGCTCAGGCGGGGCACCCCCCAGCCCTCAGCCCCGAGGTTGAGCTACAGCCCTTCTCTGCTCCCCCAGACAGTCCCAGCCATTCTTGGGTTCCAGTGCTCCAGAAAGGCACATGGCTCACCCTGCTCCTATCTGGGGTTTCTCCATTCCTGAGCAAGGCTGCACCTCACGGGCCCAGGGCTGGGGCTCGTGCCATTCTCTGTCCAGGTGGGACAGACACGGGTGGTCCGGTCTCTAAGAAACCACCCACCGCCAGCTGCTGGAAAGATGGTTTCACCTCCGCCTCTCTGCTTATGTACAAAGCGGGGCTAAGCAAGGCTGCCTGCCTCTGTACATGACAGCGAGCGGAGGAGGCTGCTTTCACTGTCACCCAAGCTCAGACCCTCCTGCCCAGGGCTAGGCACGGAGTGGGTGCTCAGTGTGGACCTTCATCGGGGTTTGAGGGCCTGTCCTGCGTGCTGGGCGTGGCAGAGCATGCCTGAAGCCGTGCTACCAGAGCACGGACTGCTTGCCAGTCCTGGCTCCGAGCACTTGGCTTGTATTATCTCATTTAATGCTTACGTCAACCCCGTGGTGGAAGTACTAGTATTGTCCTCACGTCACATGGGAATACACTGAGGCACAGAAGGGTTATGTCAGCTTGTGATGCCTGAGGCTAAATGGCTTGTAAGCTCCAGACACTGTGTGCATAGCTGCTCCACTGTGGTGTCTTCTTGATGGCACAGGATGGAGGTGTCCCGGGCAGTGAGTGAACTTTCTCTCTCCTCTTGTACTTGCGTCCCTGCCTGCAGTCATAAATGCTAAGGGAGTGTCCTTGCAGAACCTGCAGTCGCTTGCGAGACACAGTCACGTGAGCCGATCACGGTGCACAGGGCGTGAGTTTAAAGTCGGGGGCACTGAGGCTGTGGCAGCACCGTGGGCTGGGCGGCAGAGGTGAAGTCCAGGAAGACTTCACAGAGGAGGTGACATTTGAGCTGACTTGAAAGGTGAATGGGAATGTGAGACAAATAAACCAGGAGGGATGGCTCTTCCGGGGTGAGGGAATTGATTGGGGAAGGGGATGAAGGCAGAGAGGTGGAGAGAACACCCCCAGAGGGGCTCCCCTGCTTGGCTACGCAGTGAGGAGCCATCAAGAGGCTATGCTGAGGTTTGAGCCATGGCTCTGGGCTGGAAGGATCAAAGAAGCCTAAGGGAGCTGCAGGGAGCCCACAAGCCTTCTGGGCAACGGTCAGGCAAGAGATACCCAGGCTGCCCAAGCCCTGCAACCCCTCAAGGTGGGGGTGGTCTTTGTTCTCTTCTATGCTGACTTCCCCTCAAACGCTGTTTGTTCATTCTGATGATCTCAGCGGTTTCCCAGAGAGCAGGATGTTCCCAGCTTGCTGTGCTTCTGAGATAAGGCGACAGACGAAAGCAGGGATAAACCTGAGGGCCCAGCCGGAAGTGCCTGCGGACCTCTCTGGAAGCAGCAGTGTCGGGGGCCCCCACCCCCCTCCCTGCTGGAGACAGAGGGGCTACGTGGCCCAGCCCCGAGGGGCCGGTGCCTGGTACGGGTGGCAGAAGGCTACACTTCGAGGCCAGAGACTGGGACACTGGTCTTTAATGCTCCACTCACTTGCTGTGTGACTAGGACAAGTCGCTTCACCTCTCCGGGCCTCAGTGTATTTATCAGTAGCATGGGGCAGGTATGGGAAAGAATACCTACACTGTAGGTGTGTGCGAGAAGGGAAGGAGGTAAGCGATGTGGCCCCACAGACTGCAGATGACCATGCCAGTAAAAAGGCTTAGGGCAGACACGGCCTTTGCTCCTGGGAGCCATCGCCAATATGGGGAGAACGGTGCACACTGGAAAGGCCTCAGCCCAAGGGGGTGGATCCCTGACCCCACTCCTAGCCCCCTACCATTTTGTGACTTTGAGCTCTGTGGTGTTGGGCAGGTCGCTTCCCCCTCTGAGCCTCAGGGTCCCCACCAGTATGAAGAGGCCAGTAATCCCTGCCTGGCAGGTTTGGCTATAAAGTGAGAGCAGGAAGAACATTCTAGATGGGAGGTGGCCCCAGGATCCAGCCCCTGACCTCACCTGACCCCTTTCCCCGCTCTGTTCTTCCAGTGGGAACGCCTCTGGTTCCTGCTCCTCACCTTCACCTTTGGCCTCACACTCACCTGGCTCTACTTCTGGTGGGAAGTCCACAATGACTACGATGAATTCAACTGGTGAGTGGGTGTGGGGTAAGCAGGGGACATGGGGGCCTGGGCCCCGGGCTGGAACTGCGGGGCTTGGGTTGGAGCCTCTCTCCCAGGCTGGCCCTCAGGGCTCTCCGTGTGGCTTTTGGGGAGCAGGGTCCTCTGGAAAGAACAAAGGCTGGGCAGGAGCTGAGACCAGCCGGGAGGAACAGGGAACTCCTTCCTGGTGCTGCTCTCATGGAAAACAGGAACATAAGATGGGCAGGGCTCAGCCAGGGTCCGGGGCCCCTGAACCTCTTTGTAGGCAAGAACCCCAAGGCCCAGAAAGACCAGGGCCTCAGCAGAGGAGGTGACCCCAGACCGCAGGCCTCCTCAGTCCCTGAGCAGGACTTTGGGCAGCGCTGGCAGATGCTATGGTTCTGGGACAGTTCAGGGTCCTTTATGGGCACCAGCCTCAGGTCCAAGGGCAGGGCTGTCTGAGGCTGGGACCTGGGTATGCAAGGGTACCTGTTTCTTCTTCACCCGCCTCCGTTGCCTGCCTTTGCCAGACAGTGAAAGGCATGGGATCGGGGTAAGTTCCCTGGGTTCTAATGGAGACTCCTCCATTGACAAGTGTGGAAACTGAGGCCCAAGATCACATAGCCGCTTAGGAGCAGAGTTGGGGCTTGGAAGCCAGGCCTCCTCTCTCCCTATCCAGTGCTGTCTTTTCCTTCTGGTTAGAAGTTCAGCTCAGTTCAGTGTGACCATGAGCACACTAAGGTGAGCCTCTCAGGCTCAGTTTCCTCTCCCATAAAATGGGATAATTCCAATCTCATCAGGTCTTTCTGAGGATGAAACGAGATGATGGCCATGGGAGGGCTTAGAGCTCCATGTCACCCTCAGGGCTGCTTCCCAGGAGGCCGGATCTCCAGCTGGAAGGTGGCCATGATGTTAGAATTGGGGATTTCTAGGACTCTGGGCTTCTGACAGGCTGTGGTTCTAGGATTCTGGGATGATCCTAAGACTCCATTAATGGAGTCTGGGCATCCACTCCCCTCTGCATGGCACAAGGCTGTGCCTCTGTTATTAATGAGCACAATAAAGGATGTGCCGCTGTCCCCCTACAGCCCAGAAAGATGAGCTTGAGTCCCAGAGGTGCCCTCTGGCCTTTATTAAATGCCATAAATCAATTATTCATCCTCACAGGTATCCAAAGCGCCGGCACTGTTGTGCGTAAATGGGAACATTCCCTGCTGGCCCTCCACTGCAGTCATTGGACACTTCTGCTGAAGGTCTGCTGCCTGGGAGATCCTCAGGTCCCCCCGCATCGTGTACAGATGGGGAAACTAAGGCCCAGAGAGGGCAGGACTCACCCACAACCACAAAACCACTTAGTGCCAAAACATATATTGAGGACAGTCTGAGGAGACTGGAGTTCAGAGAGGTTAAGTAGACTTTTCACAGTCACACAGCGAGGTGCAGGCAGATGTAGGACAGGGACTTGAGCATGGCTGACTGTATCACGCTGTCCAAGAACTACCTCAGTCTGCCCAGAGACTGAGCGTCCTGGCACTGGGCAGCTCACGCAGAGGATGGGTGCCTACCCTGCTGGGGAGTCTGCAGGGGGAAGGCCTGCCTGCGACTTAGGGATGGCCTGAAGGCCTGTAGCTCCATCAGCCTGTCACTGTCACCTCGGTTTCTTGGAGTCAGTGCTGGGGTTCAGGAGACCCTGGCCCCGCCCTCCTAGTCCCGACAGCCTCTGGGGATAGTTCACGCAGCGAGGGGTTGCGAGCGAGAAGCAGGTGGTCAGGGCTGGCCCACCCAGGGAGGGGCCACGTGGGCTGTTGCTGTCCAGGAGGGCTCCCTGCCAAAAGTGGGAGACAAGTGGAACTAAAACATCTTTCAGGACCAGTTCCTAAGAAGCGAGTCCCGCCCTTCTTTGGGCCTCAGTTTCTCCACCTGTAGGAGGGTGCATTCAGTGATCTTCTAAGCAGTAGATTTCTCCCTGCAATCTGAAGATGAGGGCCAGGGTGCCCCATAGTGTCCTAGTGTCCCTTCCCATCACCCCTGCCCATGCCCGAGATGGCAGTAGGCCTGAAACTGCCTGGTGCCGTCTCAGAGTCTCTGACCACCTTGAGTAAATTGCTGCCTTCTCTGAGCCTCAGTTTCCTCAGTTGTACAGGGAGGATCTGGATGGCTCAGTCTTTCTGGAGAGCAACTAAGCAGTATCTATCAGGAGACTTAAAGTCCATTGCCTTTGGCTCTATAATTCTATTCGCAGGAGTCTATCCTAAGAAAATAGTTAATAATACAGAAAGCTATGTGCAACATTTTCTTTTTTGTGTTAATTTATAAGAGTGAATAATTAGAAACTGTTTTCATCAGTAGGAAGTTGGCTACGTATGGTACATTAATTCAACAGACCACAGGGCTGTCAAAAAATCAAATTTCTTCAGGATTTTTACTGACCTCAGTAAATTCTTGTGTTAATAACAAGAAGAGAATTGATTACTTATCACGTGCCTTGCCTCACTTCATCCTCAGGAAACCCTGTGAAGGGCACTTTGTTATCTCCATCCTGTAAATGAGAAAACTAAGGCTGAGATAAGTCAGGTATTATGTCGTATCAACCCTAAGACCCCACATTTTCACACTCTAGCATCGAAATTGAGACGCATGTCACAATCGATGGCATCTTAGAATCGGGGAAGCCTGTCACCTCCACGGGGTCCTGCAAGCCAGTGAGAGGCAGAGTGGGGATTTGAACCCAGTGCACCTCCCTCCAAAGCCCAAATTGACCATATGCTAGATGTGACAGGGTCCTGGCTTTGCTGCTTTACAAATATATAAGCCTGGCAGGGAAACCCAGCAGAAGAAAGGTCTGCAAAGTCTCGGCAGCGGTTACTTCTGGGCAGTAGAATTATGGGGAACTGTTTTCTTTATGCTTCTTGGCATGCCCAGGTGTCCCCTGTGAGCCCTGGACAAGCCTGACCGGTGAGCACGGGAACCGTGACATCATTACTGACTGGTCCAAGGCCTGGTCACTGAGCCTGGCTGTGTGAGAGCTGACAGCCTGCTGTCCCAAGGGAACCTCCTGGTTCCCTGGTGCAGGTCTGACCCCTTCTCCTCCCGGCAGGTACCTCTACAACCGCATGGGCTACTGGAGCGACTGGTCTGTGCCCATCCTCATGACCACAGCTGCTGCCTTCACCTACATCGCGGGCCTCCTGGTACGTGGGGCGTCTCAGAGGGCAGGTGGCCCTGCTCCCAGGGGGTGGGAGACTTGGCTTACATGGGCCGATGGAGGACCACCCTGGCCTAAAAAGGGAAGCTGGCTTTTCCCAGGTCCTCCTAGTCTGCTGCCCCTCTGGGGCTCGGCTTCCTCCAAGGTGGGAGGTCATCTTTTGCCCCATCCTGGAATGTTTTCCTCCTGACCCAGTGACGAGGGCCATCTTGCTGTTAGGGTCCACTGCAGACTGTCTCTTCCAGAAACTTCTGCCTTGGTTCTTGCTACCAATTCTCTACTCCCTCAGACTCAGGTCGATCCCCATGCTAGACTGGGAGCTCCCTGGGGACTAGGCTCAAGTCTGCTTCAGAATCCTGGGGCCCTGAACTCTCAAAACATTAACTGGGCAGCCCAAGCGCAGCAGGGCCCAGTGACCTGCGGAGGGAGAAACTGTAGAGGAGGAGGAGCCTAGCGGCCTAGAATAACCGGGGAGGAGGCCAGGCTTAGGCCGGGCTGGGCACTCCCATCGCCTACGGGGAGGGTTTGTTGACTGCTCTGACCAAGGTCCAGAGCAGCAGTGGGCAGAAGGGTGTCTGGGGAGCTAGCAGAAACCTTTGGGTCACACACGGTGCCCGACCGTCACCTCGTGGGCCCCCTCTTCAGGTCCTGGCACTATGTCACATCGCCGTGGGGCAGCAGATGAACCTACACTGGCTGCACAAGGTAAGGGCTGCCTCCCTGGGGGGTGGGGGAGGGGCAGGGAGGCCGCAGCCCCGGAGGAAGAGCTCGGACATGCCATCCTTCCTCTGCATCATGACGACAGCCGTTCCAGTGGCTAAGGGAGTGCTCACCATACACCTGGCACTGTTCTCATCGTCTAGCCTATATTAACTCATTTAACCCTCACCGGTAGCCCTGTGCGGTAGGTACTAATATCTTCCCATTTTGCAGTTGGGCAAACTGAGGTACGAAGAGGTTAGAGAACTTGCCCAGGGTCTCCCACTTAATAAGAATCTAGCTCTGTAGCTGCTGCTTGCCCAACGCAGGTCACGGCCCTGGCCCCCTCTCCTCTTCATCGGTGAGCTCATTGTAAACCTGGTGATGTTATTCCCAACTCAAAGCCCTTCCCACCGCTCTCCCCCTTGCTCCCGGGGTGATCCCAGCTCCCCCACTACAGCCCTGTATGACTTGGGTCCTGCTAACACCTCCCAACTGCTGGCTTGGGACAGCCACCCTCGGCTTCTGCTGCAGGAGACATCCCAGGCCCTGCCAGCATGGCTACCTCTCCTCTCCTCTACCTCTTCCCTCTTGCCCTCCCTTTCTCTCTCCTTTGGACTCCTTCCTTAGTTTGCTTCCCCCACCTACAGGCTGCTCAGATTCCCCCAGCCCTGGCAGGCTCCCTTGCCATAGTCCTGAGCCTCTGTGCTGTCCATTTCTGCCTCGCTCCCCCACCCTGGCCCACCCCAGTCTGGGAGCTCCTTGCAGGCCAGATTGGCTTTGCCCATCTCTGTGTCCCCAGTGCCCCACTCAGGGCTGGGCCCAAAGTGGGGAGGCTCCACACATTCTGAGCCTCAGCGCTCTGAGCATTTATTGCATGCATGGTGCTGAATGTATGTGGCCCACGCTTGCCCCTTCTCGAGGCCCCAGTGGGCATGGGGTGGTACAAAGCCAATCAGGAGAGCCCCTCCTTCCTGGGATGCCTGGGCCTTGGCAGGAGGCTGGGCACCTCTTTCTCCCCAGAGCCTGGCTCGGAGTGAGCATGCCATTTAGGAAGGGACAGAAATGTCCAGAAGTAACCATGAGCCCACGAGATGGGTGAGGAGTGACAGGGGCAGGGGCTCACTTCCTGCTAGAAGGGGGACAGGGCAAATCCAGCTGGGCTGTGTGGAGTCGCAGGTGCCAGTGGGCATCCAGGGGCCTCCGAGGTCAGGTGCTGGGGGAGTCAGATCCCGGGGACTGAAGTCTGAGAGGAGTGAAGACCAGCCAGCAGCCCTCCCTGCTTCCTCCTGCTTGTCACTGTATCCTGAGGTGTCCTCTGGGCTTCTGAAGTCCCCTCTTGAAGCACTTTCTTCTCTCTGCTGGGCAGCCGACTTGAAAGAGCTGCACCAGCTGGCACCCCGGGTGGGGCTGGCACCCACCGTGGTTACCTCCTTGGGCTCGTGCCTGGTTCTCAACAGGCCAGGTCACACTTGCTGATGCTAGTGGAGAGGCCTCCGGAGGCACTCAGCCAGCCGGGGTTGCAGACCAGTACCCGGGGCTGCGAGGACCCGAGCCCATCATCTGCACCAGTGCCAGCTCCTGGGTGCCAGTCCTGCCTTCCTCTCCTCTCTGTCCCCTCCCGGGAGGCCTCAGCACGAGGAAGGTCTTTCCAGGCAGAGCTGATCCATAGCTGGAGCCACGGCATCTGGAGCGAGGGAGTTCCCGGGGGCCAGGAGTATTCAAGTAGGGGCTCGAGTTCTATTCTGTTTCTAGGACTCTAAAGAATCCTTATTCTTTTTTGTTTTAACCAACTTTTGACCATCTCCTATATGGATGTGTTCAAAATTAAAAAGGTACTAAAAAGTAGGCAATGTTAATCTCCCTCCTATCCTTCCAGCGATATTTTAAGTACCTATAAATACACATCTGGTTTCTTCGTTTCCTTCTCTGGACACAAGTACCGGCCTGCTACCTCTGCGCCCTGACAAAATGGGAGCTCTTTGCCCTTCGGTGCATTGAGAACATTCCCATCGCGTCCATCCCTTGCTCCTGCCCCGCTGTCTCATCCCTGGTTCCCGAGGCTGGTGGGCCCGCCCGATGTCCCAGTGCACGCGGCACAATGCGGCAGCGCCCCGGGCGGGGAGGTGCGAGGTAAAGAGCACCCACTTTCACTAGCTCCTGCCAAACTGCCTCCTTGCCACGGCCCACCAACCCATGCCTCTGTGCTTAGAGAGCACGCTCGCCATCAAGTGTTCACAGATTTCTTGACTTCGGCCAACGTGATGGGTGAGGATGAGCCTCGGTGTAGCTTTAATCCGCATTTCCCTTGTGATGACTTAGACTCAGCATCTTCCCCAAGCTTGAGTCATTTGCGTTTCCTTTTTCATAAACTGGCTCTTCGTCTCTTTTGCCCTTTTTGCTGTGGGATGTGCTTTTTGCGTAGTAGTTTGTAGGAGCTCTTTCTAGATTCAGAAAATTAGCCCTTTGGCCAGTGAACTGCAGACGATTCTTCCTAATTCATCTTTCGATTGGGCTTGTGTTTTTGCCAGAGGAATTTTTTTACTTTTCCGGATGTGAATCTGTCATCTCTTTTATGTCTCCTGGATTTTGTGTCCGACTTAGGAAAGTCTTTCCCTAGGGACAGCTGGGTGGCTCAGTCAGTTAAGCGTCTCTTTTTTTTTTTTTTTTAACATTTATTTATTTTTGGGACAGAGAGAGACAGAGCATGAACGGGGGAGGGGCAGAGAGAGAGGGAGACACAGAATCGGAAACAGGCTCCAGGCTCTGAGCCATCAGCCCAGAGCCTGACGCGGGGCTCGAACTCACGGACCGCGAGATCGTGACCTGGCTGAAGTCGGACGCTTAACCGACTGCACCACCCAGGCCCCGCGTCTGACTCTTGATTTCAGTTCGGGTCATGATCTCTCTCTCTCTCTCTCTCTCTCTCTCTCTCTCTCTGTGAGATCTCTGAGATCTCTTTCTCTCTGAGAGCCCTGCATCGGACTCTGCACTCACAGTGCAGAAACTGCTTGAGATTCTCTGTCTCTCTCTCTCCTCTGTCTGCCCATCTCCCTCTGTCTCTCTCTCTCCCCTGCCCTCTCAAAATTAAATAAACTTAAAAAAAAGAAAGAAAGAAAAGTCTTTCCCACTCCAAGATGATAAAAAAATGTCTCTGTTGGTATCATTTGGTGATTATAGGTTTCTGGGTTTCTAATTTTTTTTTTAACATTTATTTGTTTTATCTTTTTGGAAGTTTATTTGGGAGTATAGTGTGATCTTTGTTCTTTTTTAGATGGCTTCCCAGGTCCCTACTCTCTGTTCAGTAATCCATTCTCCCCCTCTAATTTGAGATGCCACTTTTATAGTAGACTAGTTTTGTTTTTGTTTTTTTTTTAATGTGTTTAGATCTGTTCCTGGTTGTTGTTGTTGTTTTTTATTTACTTTCACTTACCTCTCTGGTCTCATGCCTATATAATACTGCTTTAAGAACTATAATTTTAGATTATGTTTTAATCATGATCTTTATTTTGAGAGTCTCTGGTTCCCTAGGGTCATGGGTAAGGGTGGGCTGCAGAACAGAGGGGCCCAGGACAATGCTGGGGGGGGGGGGGGGGGGGGGGGGGGCCCCCGGGGGGGGCCGCCGGGGGGGGGGGGGGGGGGGGGGCCCCGCTTGGGACAGGCAGGGTAGCGTGAGCAGATCTGGGTGTCTACTTGGGGACCTTCCCCATCCACCCTAGTCCTCCCAAAGGTCCCGTTTCCCAGAAACAGGAGACAAGTCCAGAGGCCCAGAAGATGAGAAGTGTGGGGCTTTCCAGTAAACAGGAGCTTGTTTCCCCGAGATATCCCCTTCCTGCTCCACCCACCCACAACGCCAGAATCCATCCAGACACCACTGCTGTGAGGGGCTCTCACCACAGCCCCCACCTCCCCAGGGTGCCCCCCACCAGTCCCGGCACTGATCACACCCCACGGCCCCCGTCTGCGACCTTGCCTGACTCCCCTGCCAGAGTGGTGGCAGTCCCCAGCCCAGGGCCTGCGTGGAGGATGTGTCTGCCAGCGACCCAACCTGAGGCCCAGGGAAGAGGACTGGGTGCCACAGTCATGCGGCAGTACTGACTGAGCTGGGGCAGGGCCTGTGCGTCTGCCCCCCCCCCCCCCGCCCCGGCCCCATTGGTGCCTGTGTACCATCTGACCACGTTCCCTTCATCAGCACTCCCCATGAATTCAGACTCCCTCCAAACGACCGGCCCAGGCTCCCCAGTTCTTCCCAGCCATCTAGCCTGTCCCCCCTCCAGCTGCAGCGTATGTAGGAAGGCACATCCACGCCGGGCCCCGCTCATCACGATAGCCGATGGCCATAGCCATCCTGTAGTGGGCGCTTACTCTGTGTGTCAGACACTTTCCACCGTGTTTCAGTCACTCCTGGTAATCATCTTGGTCATTGGATATTATGCCCACATTTTCAAATCACACCACTAACATTTGGTAAGCCTTTACTATTTGGGTACCAACCCTGTGCTTAGCACGCCATTGCTCTCTCTCCCTCATCCCCAAACCCCTGGCTGGTGGGCACTCATCCCCCCCATTGCACCACCCAGGAAACATGCTTCCGGAGGTTAGCCTCTCCCATTAGGCCGAGGGGCTGGGATCTGACTGAAGGGTGTGGCTCGTGCAGCACCGAGCCCTGGCCCGTCACCTGCCATTTGGATCGTAGAACCCAGATTCCAGCCGCCCCCAGGAGGCCGACCTGCTGCCCCCTCTGCCAGGCTGGCTTCCAGCTCCTCCTGGACGCCAGCATGCAGGCGAGGCTCAATGCACGGAGGTGCCTCCTGTGTCCTCAGTCCCTTCCACTGTCCCCTCAAGCCAGCATCCCACCTGCACAGAAGACCAAAGACCGCTTTCAGAGGAGGACAGTGGGCCATCTCTGGGCCTTCTGGGTGGGCTTTATCCTTTCCGGTCCGATATGAGGAACGATGGTTCCCAGCGTTGCTGGGGATCAGTGCTGGTAATGTGTCTTAAGGATACAGCGTGGGGTGGGGGGGGTCCCACAGACACTGAACACTGCGGTAATGCTGCCGAGCATAATGGTTGCCATGACAGCAGGTGCAAAGCTCAGAATAAAAATTTTAATTGCATTATGATTATGGGAAATCAGTTTTATTGCAAGTATTTCCCCTAGCAGTTAAATGCAATAAGACTGTCAGGAACAGCCCTTCAGAGACATTTGCTGTGCCCGGGACCTGTCTGCAGGGGGCAGCAGGGGGCAGGGAGCCTGTGTGTTGAGGAGGATTCTCTGGGACCCTCAGGACACTCCTTGGCCTCCCTCTACTGCAGCGTGACTTCCCAGAAAGAGCATGACCTCTGGGACAGACCATGGAGTTTGCTTCAGTATCTGCCCCCTCAGAGCTACGTGGCAAGCCGGCCTTATGCTGAGCTGTTTCCCTATGTGTGATATCAAGGTGATAATGACCTCACCTGGGACCTTACAAGAGTAAACGTGAGGAAAACAGGATGTCCCTGCCCCAGGCACACAGGCCCTCCCTCCTCTGTGTCCCTGCGTTTCTCCCCTTCTCGTGCCCTGTCCCCCCCCCCGCCCCAGGCCAGTACGTTACAGTCCATAAAGGCCCCTACCCATCTCCGCCTTATTACTGTTTCTTATTGGAACATTCGTTTTGGGCTGATGGGCCCGAATGACAAAGCTCCAAAGGGAAACTTAATCCCAGGCCAGAATGAATCTTCTCTGCCTGGCAGGGGGGGAAGATGGAGCAGCCAGTGTCTGCCCTCACCATCCTATCTTGTTCAGTTCCGTTTGGGAGGGCTCTCACAACACAGCCGCCTCCGCCTCCGGGGAAGGCACAGCAGGAAGGGAAGGGGGGCAGTGGGGAAACAGCTTGCAGCGGCAGTAGGAAGTCAGTGAAGGCAGGGGACAGTGGCCTTGACTTGGCCCATTATGGAGAGGGGCGTGAGGGCTTTGGGGTAGAGATGTGACCTGAGCCTTAAGTTGCCAGGCTTGGCGGTGAGCGGAAGGTGGCTGGAATGAGCGCTGAGCAGGGGGGTAGAGGGTGGGGCTGGGGGCTGAGTAGCCAGAAACCAGGCTTCAGGCTCCACTTAGTCTGGGGAGCATCTTGTGCTGCGTGAGAGGTTTCAGATCCCAACTGTCCCCAAAGCTCTCTGTCCCTTGAAGCTTCCATCTTGTCTGCCCTCCAACGTGTGCTCCTTGTTTCCTCTAGGAGGCAGCCGAGAGGGCAGCCCCCCCCGTAAACACAGTAGAAGCTGGAAGCTCAGGGGCAGGAGCGGGGAGCCCCGGCTGTGGGGCCAGTGGGCCAGAGCTCTGCCTCACTTCCGCCCGCTCCGGCCTGAGGGGTATCGGCTCCTGTAGGGGACCCGACTCCCCAGCCTCCTGCCCCTGCGGCCTAGATAAGTCACCCTTCACCTCAAGGGCTGCTGGCAGGGCTAAGTGAGGCCTTTGACATGACTGGCTGGGCCCACGAGAGGCCCCCACGGGCCAAGAGTCTCCCCTCCTCACACCCTCAGTGGGGCTGAACCTTGGGCTGCGCCTACGCCTCCCCCCAGCTTCCTCCCACTGTCTCTCCTCCTCAGCCTCCCTTCTGTTCTCTGGAGGTCCCCCGGCCTCCTCCTGCCTCTGTCTCTCACTGTCATTTCTGGCTAGCCATCTCTGGCTTTCTCTCCGTTGTGCCTGGCTCTCTTCTGCTTCCCCCCTTCCCTTTGTTGGTCTCTCTCGCACTCCCCGTTTCTCCCTGTGCCTCTTCCGCGGTCTCTGCTTCCCTGCCCCTCTCTCGGATGCACTGGGGATGCTCAGGCTGTCCAGACACACCTGCTCTGACCTCCTGTCTGGTGACTCTTCCCCTTCCAGATGGGGCTGGTGGTCATCCTGGTGTCCACGGTGGTGGCCATGTCGGCCGTGGCCCAGCTGTGGAAGGACGAGTGGGAGGTGCTGCTGATCTCCCTGCAGGTGAGGGGGTGAGGGAGGGCTGGGCAGCCACTTCCCCAGGACCTTCAACACAAGGCAGTGCCTTTTCATCACTCACATCTTTCCAGACGAAGGCCCAGAGGGGGCAGGGAGGGGCCCAGATCACAGAGCAAGTCAGAGCAGGGAGGGTGCTACACCTTGGGGTTTCTGCAGAGATGAGAGTTGCCCACCCCACGGACAGAGACAGGCTGGCTGTGAGGGTGTTGGTGACCAGAGGGTCTAGGCATGGCTGGGAGCTCATGGTTCCTCTTGCCCCTTCCCGCACACAAGGGCACAGCGCCATTCCTGCATGTGGGGGCCCTGGCCGCCATCACCGCGCTCTCCTGGATTGTGGCAGGACAGTTCGCCCGTGCAGAGCGGTCCTGTAAGTATGACTGCCTCCCAAGTACCAAAACCAGCTTGTCCTGCCCCCACCTGGACATCACCTAGGTGGCCACTCTCAGCATGGAGGTCCTGGTTCGGAGTGGCCCACAGGGTCCACTGAGGGTCGCAGCCTCGGTCGGCCTTGCACGTTTCCTCCTCTGTGTGTCTGTGTGTGAGTTAGAAGTCCAGCTTGCCTTCCTAGCCAGATGGGGGCTGGCCATGGTGTAGGGTCCCCTCAAAGCATTGGGTCCTGACAGGTAGAGGGAAGAGGGGCCCCCACCCCAACCCCAGCCTGCTCAGGATTCACGGGTGGGCCCTGTGGAAAGCCAAACAGCTCACCAGGTAGCCTGACTCACGGCCGATGTCTGCAGCCTCCCAGGTGGCCATTCTCTGTATCTTCTTTGCCATGGTATTTGCCTTCTACCTGGCCCCTCTCACCATCTCATCTCCCTGCATCATGGAGAAAAAGGACCTGGGCCCCAAGCCTGCCCTCATTGGCCACCGTGGGGCTCCTATGGTGAGTACCACCTGAGGGTCCTAACAGAGCAGAGAGGGGGGTGGGCAGTTCTGCCATTCTAGGGGAGACAGGCCTACAGGACCTATCTCCTTGTAGGGAAGATATAATATGTGTAATATGGTAATAGCAGGAATCTTTAGCTCTTTTGGGGGGCATATGGGAAGGGTTGGTGAAAAAGCTGGGGAGCTCAGATGGGACTGAATCCTGAAGAGTCCTGAAGGCACCTCGCTAAAAAGATTTAAGTTTTTATCCTGAGGGCCCTGGAAAGATACAGGCAGGCTAGGTTGTGGGTTGGGAAGGCCCAGGAGAGAGGGGGAGCTGGGTGTGGGGAGGACAGCCGGTCCCCGGGTTGTGGGAGAACCCTCTGGGCTGTGGGGTGCAGAAGGGAACAGGTACAACTCAGAGCCCACTGCTAGAGGGAAGGTACTTGAAGAGGGTTGAATTAGAGACAGAAGGGAGTCAAAGTCAGAGCCCTCTGACCCAGCAGTAGTTTAGAGGGTGGCTCCAGAGCCATGCTTCCTCAGCCCTTTGGCAGCTGTGGGAGCCTGGACCAATCCGTGTCTGCTCTGTGCCAGTTTCCTCATCTTGTGTCTTGGGATAACAAGAGTGCCTGCACCGGTGGGCCATGTGAAGTACCCAGCTATGAGCCTAGCACACACAGAGTGAGAGATAGATATTTCTGGCTTCTGGGGCAGGCTGTCTCCCTTCTCTGGACCAGGGGGTTCTCCTGCACCAACACCTTGACTTTGTGGTTCTTAACAGAGGCAGTACCTATTATCACCACCAGGAGGCGCTTGGGGCCTGCGTGAGAGTTTTTTTCTTTTTCTTTTTCTTTCTTTCTTTCTTTCTTTCTTTCTTTCTTTTTTTTTTTTTTTTTGCAGTGATTGAGAGTTCCATGTATCATTGCATTTCAGGGCAGTCAAGGCAGCCTCACAAAGTAACTTTTAAAAGGAGGTGTTAAGTCTGGTGGGGCTGTGAATCACCCTTAGGTTTTTCCCCACTTCCTGTGTTGAGTGTTACTGTGCCCGTTTTGTAGGTAAGATTCAGATACCTGTGCCTGAACCGGCCCCTGGGACCCTCCCAACACACCCTTTGCTGGTCCCAGTACCTCCAGGAGGCAAACAGCTGGAAAGACCATGGCTCTGGAGCCAGAGGGATCTGGATTTGGGGTCCAGTTTTGTCCCATATTGCCTGTGGGTCTCGGGGGGTCACCAGTCCCCTCTGAGCCTCATGCTGCTGACCATTGTGAGGATAATTTAGAAGCATAGCCTTTGCAGGTGGGCAGGGCCCAAGGTTACAGCACCTCTTCCATCCATGACCCAGATTACCCACCCACCTGCTCTGGAGGCCAGGGGACAAGTAGGTGTGCCGAGGGGGGTGGGCACTCAGCCAGGGGGAAGGAACCAGGTGGCCCCAGCATGGATCATTTTTTTAGTTGGAAAAAGTAACATTCACAGAAGTGGCAAGAATTGTATAAGGAATCATATAATGAAGAATAATATAAGGAATCCAAGACCACCTTCAATATTTATCAATGTTCTTGCCATCCTTTGTTTCATCTGTCTCCCTACTTTTTCTTTTCTGATGTAAAATCTTAAAACAAATCCCAAACATCCTATCATTTTGCCCATATATACTTCATATATATGTATCTCTAATACATAAGGACTTTTTTCTTTTAAACATAGCCAAAACTACAATGCTGCTGTCACACCCAACAAAATAATAATTCTTTAATATTATCTAATACTGAATCCATGTTCAGTTTTCCTTTGTTGTCTCAAAAATACCTTTTTACAGTTGTTGAAAATCAGGATCCACATGGAGAACATGTAGTGCATCTGGTTGACATGTCTTTCAAGTATCTCTTAGTATAGAACAGTCCCCCTCCCTTTTTCCCATATGCTGTTTATTTGTCAAAGAAACGGAGTCATTTGTCCTGTAGAATTTCCCACATTGTGCATCTGGCTGATTGCATCCTCTTGGTGGTTTTTGAGGGGCCGGCACGAGTGTCTGACACGGCTCCATGTGTCACTGTGCATGCACATGTATCGGTGTCTACACCTGTGTGTATCATTGGGTCTGGATCCACATATCTGTGTGTGATAAGCCCAAGTGCACATTGCTGTCTTGGTGTGTCCATGTGCCCTTGGGTGTATGGTTCCTCTGTGGGTGCAGCTGGATGTGTGTATGTGTGTGTTCTTTAATATTTGGTCAGACTAACTCCAAAGTCGGGACTTTTAACCACAGTGGCCTGCCCACCTGAGTTTGTGACAGCCACCCCTCACATACACACTGGAGAAAAGAACCCCACTTGGGCTCAGGCATGAGACAGGTAGGGATTAAGAATTCACCCTGAAATCCCACATGTTTCTAAGAGCCCTCATGGAGTCCCAAGGCTGGCCAAGGAGGGCTAGGTTTCCATGCCTCCCTCTCCCGGAGGCGAGCACCTATCCCTGGGAGACCCGACTAAAAAGCCTCTGGAGAAGAGACTCTGCCCCTCCCAGTCACTTCCTCTGTTCCCCAAGGGTCTTTGTAGACCCCACTGTGCTCCTTTGTGTTCTTCACACAGTCAACCTCCTGCAGCCTCGGCCCCCAGAAGAGCAATGGCACCTCTTGTGAGAGGCCTGGCCGCAGGACGTTTAGAGGCGAGCTGGGCAGGAACTCCACCGAGTCCATGCCTGTCTCTAGATGCCTCTGTGGCCTTGTTCCACCTCTCGCTGGGGCCACACACAGCCCACCTAACTGGGAGAAGGTAGCCACGTCCCCCAAAGCTGCTCTGCCCCAAGAAAAGTGGAAGAAAGGAACTCAGTTATAGAGACTGCTGATGCCCCTTATTTCATCTGTGAGCTTGATAACACTAGCCTATTTTATAGCTAAAGAAACCAAGGTGCAGAAGGTGAACGACTGGGAAGTCGAATTGCTCCTTCTCAGTCCCCACAGCCCTTGCCGTGCCAGGCTGCCTCCCAGAGGAGGGTAATGTGTTACATGTTGGAGCAGCATGGCCAGAGGGAGAGAAGATGGGCATGTGTCTTGGTGGGAAGTGAGATCAGTCGCAGGAACCCCTTCCACCCCATTCCTTCACTGCCAGGAGTCCTCACTCCCCTCCCTGTTCCAGCCCGCACTGCGCTGGGTTCTAGCCCACTCCTTGATATGGTGGTGACCCCCAGTGGCAACAAAGGGTATGACACGGTCTTCAGGCAAGACAGAATTAGGGAGGGAGACTTCAAACTCCAATTCTCCCAACTGGAAGGACCCTCAGAGAACAGTGAATATATACCCCAAGGGGAAAATGGGGAAACTGAGGTCCATAGGAGAAAGAGATGCACCAGCGGTTACAAAGTTACTTTATGGCAGGGCCAGGGCTAGAACCAGATCTTCTGACGTGTATGCTATAGGATTAAGAGTCATTTATTAAGCATTTATTGTACGTCAGGCAGCATGGTTGGGGGCTTTTAATCCATGTAACAGCCTGGGGGATGGCCTTGTCATGGCTTAAACGGTGCCATCCTGTGTCCCCTCCCCTCTCCCTCTGGGATCTCCACCCAGACTCCAGGTATAATTGGGAGGAAACATGGCTTGCACCCCAGCCCAAGACTGTGACGAGACAGAGGACTGTATAAAAACCCTCACACCCCCATCTATACATCAACACTAACCACCTTGCCTCCTCCCCACCTCACCCCCAAAAAAACCTGTGAGGTGAGGCAGGCATGATTTCACAGATGAAGAGACCGAGCCTCTGAGAAGCTGCATGGGTGTCCAGGGTCCCACAGCCACTGCTTGGAGGAGTTGGAATTAGAACCAGACTTACTCCAGCCTCCCAACATGGAAGGTTCTAGATTGGCTGGGGAGGTGTACATCAGCTAAATCTTGGCTCTCCCTTCCTGCCCAGCTGGCCCCAGAGCACACATTGATGTCCTTCCGGAAGGCCCTGGAGCAGAAGCTGTATGGGCTACAGGCTGATGTCACCATCAGGTAGGTGTGGGGGTCAAGAGGACCATAAGGCCTCTCATCCCTGCCGCATCCGGGACCCTGCTGGAGAAACCTCGGGTCCCAGAGCCTCAGAGATGGGGCTTGGGGCTTGGATGATCCGCCACAGGGCTGACACCCTGTTTGTGCCTAATGCCAGGATATAAAATAGGGAAATAAACACATGCTCTTGGTTCAAGCAGGGGTGAGTGTTTGGGACCTGGAGTCCTGCCACAGATCTACTTGAAGACTAGATCTGTGTGGCTCAGCAAGATGGCTCAAACACCAGTGGGTGGAATGAGCACACTGCAGAGTGATGTATTCACTGTGATGTCAATTATATTTAGAAGACGCAAAAAATGATTTGTACGTTTTCAACGTGTAGATTTTAAAAGTATGTCTTAACATGAAAGGTCAAGAAGAACTCATACCAATTTCACAACAGATTATCTCTGAGAGGGGAAGGAGGCGGGGCTGCCATGTTTAGCTACACAGGTTGTGTAGTGAACAAGATACCACATACGTGAGGGGCCAAGCATAGATATCATTGTTAGATAACCCACTGGTCCCAGTGTAGATACCACAGAATTGTGTGTGTATCGAAACTTTCTAGCAGACGGAGGTAAAATGCCTTGAGGCAGGGGGGCACAGGTGCTTTTTACTATTTCACACTATGACATCATATGTGGTATCGGCAGCCCCAAACGGGTAGACTAGGATGGTGGGAAGGGGGAATTTGTCAAAGGGGCCTGCATCTGTACTGTTCTAGTATGGCATCACATGGCCCGGGTTCTAAGTAAGGTTATACCATTTACTGGCTAATGGGTCTTGAGCTAGGTACTTCCCTCTCAGCCTCAGTTTCCCCATTATCAAACGAGGCAGCACTATCTGCTAGGGCTGCTGAAAAAATAGACCCAGCCCTCCATCCTCAGCAGTCCCTAACCCCGTCTGACCCTCACAGAGAGCCAGAAGGAGTCACCTGTGAGTCCACTGCCCTCCCGGTGCAGACAGGGAACCTGAGGTCCACAGAGGCAAAGCCTGCCTGGACGTCATGGGGGTTGTATAAGTGGATGGGAAGGAGCCTATGTATGTTGGTGGGGGATGACTGGTGGGCAGGTGAGGGACCTGGGTGGACAGTGATTTGGGGACCCCACCTTCCCGTAGCCTGGATGGCGTGCCCTTCCTCATGCACGACACCACCCTGCGGCGCACCACCAACGTGGAGGAGGAGTTTCCGGAGCTCGCCCGCAGGCCCGCCTCCATGCTGAACTGGACCATCCTGCAGAGGCTCAATGCCGGCCAGTGGTTCCTGAAGGTCTGGCTGTACCTGTCCCAGTCCTAGGCATGGAAAGCACAGGCGGGGACCCCATGGAGTGAGAGGGCCGGGAGTGGTCATCGGCTCAGATGACCCCTAGTCCCCTAGCATCAATGACTCACAGCCAGGTTGGTTAGTGGCCTGCTTCGGCTCCAGCCACTGAAGTCCAGATCTCATGGTTGTCACTGCTTCTTCTGGTTCTGTCTCCCACATCAGAAAAAGTTGGTGGTGATGATAAGAGTTAACAGGTAAAACTATTAACTCTGTCAAACTCTAGAGGGAAATTGGTTCTCTGGTGTGAAATGCTACTAAAGGAGAAATGTGCTGGGGTCTGGGATAAGTTCCAAGCAGGTGATTCTTTCAGGAAAACAGGTGTGGCCCAGAGAAGTTAGGGTTGGGGTCTTCTAAAAGCCCCACAGGGCCACAGTTATCAATTTACCTGACCCACACACCAGCAGACACTGGCAGCTCAGGGGTCTCCGTGCTTAGTGGCCAAGAAGGCACACGGAGGCCCCAAAGGGCTGGCGAGGCAGCCATGTGTGTTCCTATCTCTGCCAGACGGATCCCTTCTGGACGGCCAGCTCTCTGTCACCCTCCGACCACAGGGAGGCCCAGAACCAGTCCATCTGCAGCTTAGCAGAGCTCCTGGAGCTGGCCAAGGGCAATGCCACGCTGCTGCTCAACCTGCGTGACCCACCACGGGAGCACCCCTACCGTGGCAGCTTCCTCAATGTCACGCTGGAGGCCTTGCTGCGCTCTGGGTTCCCCCAGCACCAGGTGAGGCCCTGCTCAGGAGCCCTGCCCTGCCCCCCTGGAAACCCAGGCCTGGCTGGAGCAGGACTCCAGCGTAACTTCACTGTGCCTCCTGTCCAGACCTCAGTTTCCACATTTGTAGAATGGGGGTAACATGCCCCTTGCCTTCCTGACAGGGTAGTCGTGGAGACAAGAGGGAAACAAGAAAGTCCTTTAAAATGTACAAAGGGCAGGAGCAGGTTCTCTGGGACACTGCTATTTCCACGAAGCACTGCCCGCATCCTTGTGCTGTAATACTTGGGGGTCAGAGGAATTCGAAACGAATTTATGGCAGCACACTAAACTGGTGGCATCCTATAGAGTGACTGACGCTTGGGTTATCAGTCTTGTCATGACAGGGGTCTACAGGGGAAGCTCCCTGAGTTGTGGCCAGAGCAACTGCACAGCCTTGGCTGGGACCAGGTTGACCCCTGTAGATAATGATTACACATAAGCTCCACTCTGTGCCAGGTCCCAGCTCTCTGAAACCTTCCAGGGGCTTCAGGCTTCTTTAACAGAAGAGAAAGCTGAGGCTGCCCCCTCTCCTGCCTGCAGGTCATGTGGCTGCCTAACAGGCAGAGGCCCTTTGTGCGGAAGGTGGCTCCTGGCTTCCAGCAGACATCAGGTTCCAAGGAGGCGGCCGCCAGCCTGCAGAGAGGCCACATCCAGAGGCTGAACCTGCGCTACACTCAGGTGTCCCGCCAGGAGCTCAGGTGCCTGCCCCAGCTCACCAGGGGGAGGCTGGATGCACAGAGTTCCTGGTTCAAAGAGTGGAGGTGGACAGCATCAGGCAGATCCAGGTTTTGTCTGAGTTTGGTCCTCTGGGAGTGGAGATTCCTTTCTCCAGGGCCAGTTGTGGGTGTTCCTTTCTCCAGGGCCAGGAGGTTCGTGAAGGGGGCATGCTTTACAGGCCCGGAGGCCCCAGTCTGAGGGCTGACCAGCCTCCGTCCCCCTGCCCCACAGGGACTATGCATCCTGGAACTTGAGTGTGAACCTCTACACGGTCAATGCACCGTGGCTCTTCTCTTTGCTGTGGTGTGCAGGAGTCCCATCTGTCACCTCCGACAACTCCCATACCCTGTCCCAGGTGCCTTCCCCTCTCTGGATCATGGTAAGTTGAGAAGTTGTTGGGGGGGCGGTGTGCAGGAGGGCACCTGGGGGTGTAGAGGGAGCCTGTGATACAGGGTGGGGGGGGAGGCTCGATGCTCAGGGCTCTCTGGTGAGGTCTCAAGGGTGGGGGCAGCACATGGTGGGGGGTTTAGGCTTGAGGCAAGAGGAAGATCTTCATGGCCTCTGGAGTCTGCACTAAGGTGCTGGGGGGTGGGAAGAACCTGGGCCCAACCCACAGGGAGAAAAACATCATTTAAGGGCCCCAGAGGAGTAAATTGCTACTTGGGGGTTGGGTTTCAGGAGTTTGTTATATTTTGTTTTGAAGAAGGAGAAGGCATTAGAAAAAGAGGGTAACAACAGGACAAAGATAGGGAACATTTAAAAGCTGCTCTGAGAATACACCAAATAAAACCAGTTTTCAACTGGTTGATTGGGTCCCTATAGACTGGCCTGGGCTCCCATCCCAGCTCTGTCACTGGGGGAGCCCCCCACTCCTATGCTCCCCCTGGCTCCCCACTGCCATCTCCGTGAGGACAGGACAGCCAGTCTGAGGGTCTTGTTATGGCTGAGACAGTGTCAGGGTCAAGTAACCAGAGCTAGGTTATGGATGGTTGTGTCCGTCCACCTACCAGAGGTCCTTGCAAACCTCCAGAGGCTCTGCTGGGAACCAGCAGTGCGCACACTCGGAGGTTCAGGCGACAGCAGCTGACCAGCAGCAAGAAGTGCTCCTTTGTCCAGGCCCCGTCCCTCCTCCACAGCTCACCTGACATCAAGGCCTGGCTACACTGGAGGCTTTGCCCTCCCTGGTCCCGGGAGCGGGCAGGCCTTCACTCAACACCCTACGGTGACACACGTAATCTCACACCTGCACAGATGCCACACACACCCCTGCATACGTACTAGTCACTTACAACCCCACATTCAGCTATTTGTCTTTTGTTACTCAGCTTCTGCTTGGAGCCCCCCTTAAGCACACAAACCCACCAGGCTTATTCACAAATGCCACCTCTACCCTGAATACCACACAGATCTTTTTTTTTTTTTTTTTTTTTTGAGTGAGAAAGAGGGGAGGGGTACAAGTGAGTGAGGGGCAGAGAGAGAAGTGGGGCTCACTGAAGCGGGGTTCGTGCTCACCTGATGTGGGACTCAAACTCACAAACTGTGAGATCATGACCTGAGCCGAAGTCAGATGCTTAATGACTGAGCCACCAGACACCCCACACAGATCTTTTTTATCCTACACACACACACACACACACACACACACACACAGGCTTACAGTGTTCAGAGCCTACTCCTACAAAATATCATCTCAAGCCCCGAAGCCCCCTCTGGATCCTCCCAGCCCATCCCTGATAGTGACGTGGGGTCCCCCTGCCCATATGGACCCTCGGTCTGGGGCCCTGGTATGGACTGGCCAGGACTGAAAACTGGCCACTGGCCATCTGTCCACAGCCCCCGGACGAGTACTGTCTCATGTGGGTCACTGCAGACCTGGTCTCCTTCAGCCTCATCATTGGCATCTTCGTGCTCCAGAAGTGAGTAGGCTTGGACGCCCTTCCACAGCCTTCCCTGCCCCACAGCAGGCGAGCCCCCACCTCAGCCAGTCAAACCTCCCCAAGTCCTGGGCCAGGAGAAGCCCTGACCAGGCAGCGTGTTCAGGGTAGGAGGAGGACTGCCCAGTGGCCTGCAGCCCGTCCTCCTCAGCCAGAGCTGAGTGGCTTCGGGAACAGGTACCCGGCTAGGAGCCCATAGCCAACCAAGCTCTGACATGATTTGCTACGTGGACTTTGGCTTGTGTCCTGACCTGTTCCCCGGGGCCTGGGTTGTCACCGGCACTCAGGTGTGCCGTGCTGGAGACCTCCTGCCTGTCAGGGTAGCAGCTGAGCTGGTGGCTGCAGTGGGGAAGTGGGGTTGGTCTGGGGGAGGGTTTAGGGCCAGGCAGGGGCCCCAAACCAGCCACAGACAACAACTGGCCGTTCTATTCCTGACTGACGTTCTCTCTCTGTCACACACCGCTCTGATCCGGCGCATGTCCCTCCTCTCTCTCCCCACCCCCCTCTCTGCTGCACTCTGGCATCTCACAGCTATCACTTGATCAGGTAATTCTGGTGTGGTCTTCCTCTCCTGTCCCTCTTTCTCCCTCTTCCTTGCCATTCCCTTCTCCAGTTCCCCCTGAAAACCTGCCATGCACTGAGCCGGTGCCTGGGTCAGGGTCCCTCGCGGGTCACCCTCCCAGACACCTCCCCTCGCCTGAAGCCTCCTGCTGTCCCCTGCCCTCCTTCTCTCCCCCACAATCCTCCCTTCTCTCCCCATCTTGCCATGTGTGTCCCTCTGCCCTTTGTTCCTCCTCGCTGTCTCTGTGGATGGGAACCCATGCTTCCCTGCAGGTTTGCTGACCTGGCCTCTCTTAGCACCAAAGCGGCTCCCCTCGGGGGAGGGGCTGTGCCTGGCTGTCCCTCCCCTGCCACCAACTCTAGCACTAGCAGGGGCCTTCGCCACTACCCTACCAAGTTCTGTTCCCCCCTTCCCACTTTTGGCTTTGCCTCTGTTTATCTTTCTCTGTGTCTCTCACTTTGTGACTCCTGCCCCCCCCCTTATACACACAGCCTCCCTGCTTTCCCCTGGGGGCACCCCACAGTGGTTGAGCTTCCTGTCCTAGATGTGCCTGGCTGCAGAGACCCTGGCCTGACACTTTCCTCCTGGGTTCGATGTTAATTTCCAACAGGAGTCCTAGGTCCTGGGGTCCAAGCCCTCACCTTAGCTAAGTGCCTTGGGCCCTCCTGCTTTATACAGCCTCACTAACCAGCTTCCAGAGGACCCTCCCTGGCTGAGGGGCTGAGGGGCTGAGGGGCTGAGTGCAGCAAAGGGACATGTACCTGGTCCTTCATTTGCAGCCAGCAGACATCCGCATGTGCTGGTGCCGTGCTGGGCCTGCAGCGGGGAGCCAGGCCTTCACTCTCGGAGCTCCGGTGTGCTGGGTGGGGGCCTGCCAAGGTGGCCTAGGTGCTGGGATGGACATGTCCAGCCAGGGTCGTGTCACTGTCTTCCTGGGGGTCAGCAGAGGACTGATGGAAGAGGGGACCCTGAGGGAGAATATCATTCCCTGCGGGCCCCCTTCCTCCATTCACTCACTGAACCAATACTATGGGCACCTGCCACACAGCAGACATTGAGGTTGGTGCCAGGGACACAGTGGCAGATAAGAGACCTATCGCTGCCCTCAAGGACATGTAGGGCAGCCAGCCCAGCCAGAGCACAGGCTGCCTTCCCCTCTGCTTCCTGCTTCCCCCTTGTCTGTCTGTTCTTTTCATTCACCCATCTGCCTGTCCATCTGTCTGTCCATTTCTGCTGTGCTGACCCCATCTGGAAACAACTGATTTCTCATGGAGTCCGGGCTGCCCGCACCACCCCCGCAGGGCTCAATGTCCAAGGGGTTGGGTTCTTGTTTCCAAGCTGACCCCTGCTTCTCTTGGTGGGAATGGGGACAGGGGTTCAGTCAATCTTTCTGTCTAGTTTGCAGGACAAGTCATAAGTTCAGAGACCAGAGATTTGGGGCTGGTTCAGAGGTACTGCAATAGCAAAAACTGCTGTGGGCTAGGTACAGGAGCCCAAGTTCCCCAGCTCTTCCTGGCCCCTGCACGCCCCGTACAGCCCCACCTCTTGCCCATTGGCTTAATTTTATCCCCCACCTCATCCCTGCCTCAGCTGTCAGAGGCATTAATGCTGTATCTAGCCTGTGCCTCACCGTGAGGAAACAGGTCACTCTCCTAGGGTTGTTGGAACACCCGAGTCACTGACACCCTTGTCTCTGAACCTGTGAAGACAAGCTCCCCACTTGTCTTCACAGCTCCTCCCCTCACTCCCTCCCCTCTTTCACTTCCACTCCGGGGTTTCCCCACTGGCTTCACTCAGCCTGGTCCTGATGGTGGAGCTGGACGACACATCAGCCAGGACTCCCTGAGATTGGTGTGTACCCCACAGATGGCTCATCAGAGTCAGGTCTGCTAAGCTCCCCCACCCCAATTTACCTCAGAAGTCAGCGTGCAACTGCAAGCACCCGAAACAGAACTCACCAACCCCAAACAACCTATCTTCCTGGGCAAGGAGGGCTGACCTAGGGTTCCGGGGACAAGAGAGAGGCAGGAGAGCCCTGGCTGAGTCAGGGGACTCTGACGCAAGCCCTTCTCTGGGCCTCAGTTTCCCCATCTCTAGTCAGACAAGAGTCCTGCTGGCCTCTCAGGCCCAATCCGGACAGGTTCTAGAATTGGGCAGGATCCTCGCTCCAAGGAAGGGTGGGGAAGGACCTGTGCCCATGGGGCCGTCTCTGCAGGTGGCGCCTGGGTGGCATTCGGAGCTACAACCCCGAGCAGATCATGCTGAGCGCTGCGGTGCGCCGGACCAGCCGGGATGTCAGCATCATGAAGGAGAAGCTCATCTTCTCAGGTGTGCAGCCCTGCAGGTTGAGACGGGTGGTGGGCTCAGTTACCACCCCACGCATGTACTCGAGTATGTGTACACACATTCACCCACAGCACGTACAGCCAGGAACACAGCACGGACATACATGTACCCACCCAGCTTCACATACACATACAGAAACATGTACCCCTCCGCATGCTGTCATCCACTCCAAGCCCTGGGGCAGTCAGCCCCATGGGTGGTGGACAAAGGACAAAAGTGTGGGGGTGGGGGAGTCTGCTTTTAAGGCTTACCCTCCTTTGCCTGGTTTATACACCACAGATACTGATTTTTTTCCCTTCTGCTTGCTGCCAGCCCATCGATGGCATTCCCAGTCTGATGGAGGAGGCAGCCGTAAGAAAAAATACATAGAAACTTGGGTGTCACTAGAGCTCCAACAGGTGTGCTGAGCCAGAGTGGGGTGCAGAGAAGAGTGGTCAGAGCTCTCTGGGACAGTGAGGGTCTTGGGGCCCACTTTGCAAGGAGGTGACCTAGTGGGAATGGGAAAGATGAGTAGGAGGGGTCTGGGTTTGAGGTGAGGACTGACCAAGCAGAGGGAAGGAAGGGTATTCAGGCAGGAACAGCATATGTTCAGAGGTAGTGAGGGGGCATGGCTTACTGGGGTACCAAGAATTATCATTCCATATGGGGGGGGGGGGGGGGCTCAGGTTCACTTACCCTGAGGTGGCACTGAGGGGGGCACTTGGGCCTCGAGTGTGTGGTCAGGAGCTTGGGCTTCAGTTTGAAAGCAGAGTATGGTCACAGGCAGATCTGTCCCTGTTACAGGAGGGCTGTAACAAAGCACCCCAAACTGGTGGTGTAAACAATAGAAATTTATGGTCTCAGTTCTGGAGGCCAGAAGTCCAAAATCAAGGTGTTGGCAAGGTTGATTCACTCTGAGGACTGTGGGCGAAGGATCTGGTCCAGGCCTCTCTCCTTGACTTGTAGGTGGTCATATCTGTGTTTACGTGGTTCTCCCAGTATGCATCTCTGTGTACAAATTTCATCTCTTCCTAAGGACACCAGGCATATTGGACTAGGCCCCACCTTGATGACTTCATCTTAACTAACATCTGCAACAACCTTACTTTCAAATGAAGTCACATCATGAAGTACTGGGGGCTAGAACTTTCAACATACGAATTGGGGGGGCAGAGCACAATTCCACCTCTAACAAGCATGCAAGGTGAACTAGAGAGGGGGAAGGTGGAGATGAGGAAGCCAGAAATTCAGGTGAGAGATTAGGCATGGGAACACGGAGGAGAGGAGAGATTTGAGGGATATTTAGGAGCCAGATGGACTGGGGTTCAAATCCCAGCTCTGTCCCCAACTAGAGTGTGAACCAGAGCACATTGGCACCAGACCCTTCCTGTATAAAACGGACTGGCACCTCCTGCCCCTCACAGGGTGCTTGTGGGGTTAGCACCATGCATGACCCAGCAGTGTGCTTGGTAAACACGGCCTGAATGAACGATACCCCAGTGGGGGTGACTGGTTTGGGAGCTGGTTCCTAGGATTGTGTGAACATCCATTCATTCACTCTCCCCTTTATTCATTCATTCCTTCAACAGATAATTGCCAGGCACTGTTTTAGGTGCTTAGGATTTACAGATTCTTGCCTATGGGACACTTACATTCCTCCTCCCTTGGCTCAAAAGACCGCCCTCTCCTGGGAGCCTTCTCTGAGCACCAAGGCTGGGTTGGAGGGCCTCTCCTGGTGGTTCTCAGCCCTCTAGCCACACTGGGGAGCTCCTGTAAGGGCCAAAGGCACCCGGGGTCCCCAGGCTCCTACAGCCTGGCCCAGGGAAATCAGAAGGGGCGGGTGGAGTGAATGGAGAGCCTCTAGGCCTCTAGGCCTGGAAGATTCTGCCCACGCAGGCCCCCACCTCTCCTTCAGTGCCAAAGGCCATTCATTGAGCACCTTCGGATACAGACTCTGAGGCAGCCAGCCACAGCCCTTAGGCCACCCTGCCCACTCCAGGTTGAGAGGTCCTTTCCAGAGACCCTCAACCTCACCAAGGCACCCTGAGTCCCCTCAGGGTGGGCTCAGCTCCACTCAGCAGACACTTCCTGAGCCTCTGCTCTATGTTCGGTGCTGTGCCAGGCAGTAGGGACACAGATGCACCCAGACCTCACCCCTGTGCTTGAAGTACTCCAGTTGGTGGGGGCCACAGATAGTGACAGTACAGGATGCGATGGGGCAGGGGGAAGCAGGGGCTAAGGTGGACATGAGGAGGCCCCATCCCAGCTTGGGGGGCTCAGGGGAGGCTTTTAGGGAACCATAATAACAGAGATGAGAAAAATTGAGCCATATTTTAAGAAATAAAGTACCGATGGGGAAGTCACTCCCAGGAGAGGGACCAGTGCGTGCAAAGGCCCTGAGTAAACACATGAGCACCAAGCCCAGGAGGGTGCAGATGGTTTTCTGTGGCTGGGAGGTGGAGTTCCAGGGGAGAGGTGAATGGGGTGTGGCCAGAGTGTTTGCAGAGTCCAAGGAGGGCCTTGAATACCAACCTCAATAGCAAACCTGAACCCAGTGATTTCATCAGCCTCCAAGTGCCTGAACAGGAGCTGTGTGTTGCAAGTTACCCTTCCCCCTCATCTCCCAGCCATCCTCACTGAACTCTCTTCTCCCTACTCACGTTCTGCCTCCCTCTGGCCCAGCAGAGATCAGCGATGGCATGGAGGTTTCCGATGAGCTCTCTGTATGTTCAGACAACAGCTATGACACGTATGCCAACAGCGCTCCCACCCCTAAGGACAACCGAGGGAGTGGCAGCCGCACCAAGACTCTCACAGACCGGAGTGGGCGTTAGCCGAACCCTGTTTGTCCCAGCCTGTACCTGTACGTGGAGACCAGGGGACCCAAGAGAGCGGGCAGAAGCATGTCTGGACCTGGAGTGCTCTGGGAGCTGGCTCCACGGCCTCCTCGTTGGCTCCGGCCCCCGTCAGCCATGGCCCCCCTTGAAGGGGACTCCCCTCTCTCCTGAGGCCCAGCCAGGTCAGAACTCCAGCCTCGCAGAGGCCCCTGCTGGCCTGGGGCCCCTTCTGGGAAGTCTGGGGCCCAGGGCCTGGTCCTCCCCCAGAGGCCTTCCCTTGCATCCTGATCTGGAAGCTCTGATGGCTCGCTGCTGGGCTGTGTTGCAGTTAAGGATGTGGATGTCCACATGTGTCCATCCTCCCTTCTATGCTGAGGTAGCCGACTTCTTTGGTGTCTCCTGCCTTGAGGGCCTGGGCTGGGCCTCTGCCCCCAGCAGCTGTTCTTCACATCAGTCTCAAAGCACAAGGAGGTTCAGCCCAAGAAGAAAGCCTGCTGTGGTGGAGACACTCCTCCCTGACCAGCCTCCTACCACCACTGGCCCTGCCTCAGGAGAGGGACTGAGCCATGTCCCCAGGAACAGCTGGAGATGGCCAGGAGAATAGGCCTAAGGCTGCTTTATCCCTCGCCCTCGTGTCCAACAGACTTCTAGGGCAGAGTGGCACAGAGGCCCAAGAGATCTGCAGACTGATACAACCTCAGGTTTCCACATCAGTGGCCACAGGGCATTGGCCACCTAGGAAGAATGTCCTAGGCATGGCCAAGGAGGCCTACAGCAGAGCAAGCCTGACAGCCTTGGCCAATATGATTAAAGCTGCCATCCTGACACGTGCTGTCTCTGAATGGTCTGTGGGAGGACGGGGAGAGAACTTGCTGGGTTTGGGATTCAGTTTTGGCCAAAGGAGGAAGCATTTTCAGAAATGAGTAGAAGAGTGGCAGGGTACTTGGGCCCCTACCCAGTATCACCATGACACCAGGGGTTCCTTAATAACCCTGGGGTTGGGGACCAGCATCCCCATACTGTGGTGGGGAGATGGTCTTGGAGAGGTAAAGTGACCATCCAAAGCCACATAGCTTAGAATGGGCAGAGGCAGAATCCTGCCCAAGCTCTGGCCCCAGAGCCTATGCGTGCACGCCTTCCATAACCAGCCAGGAATGGCAAGGCAGATGGGGAGACCTCCTGGGTCCAGTGCAGGGCTGGGTGGTGGAACTAGCAGGTCCCCTCACAGCCATATGGAGGTGCTTCTAGGAGCCAAGGGATGTACCTCTTCTGGATAGAATTATTGGGGTCTAAGCAATTCTGGTACCTTCTTGGAAGAAAGGAAAAGAAACCCCTCCCAAATTCTGAAATCCAGACTGTGCCCCCCACATTAATCTCTAGGACCACCCTCTGGGAACTGTGAGGGGATTCACACTCCTTCCCTCCTACTGAACATATACCAAGTGCATCCCTTTCAGGGACAGAGGTCAGCTCCCACCTTTCCCTGGGCACAACGTATAAGAGAAATCCTGAACAGCCAGGTCAGGGATGGGCTGCACTGCTCTACACAAAATGCCCCCCGTAACCTCTCCAGCCTCTGGCAGGCCCACCCAGGAAAGTGGATTTGACCTTTCACTGCAGCCCTTTCCTGTCCAGCCAGTGCCCCTGGCCAGGATGTCCCAGGTTCATGGCCACACTTAGTCAACTTGAGACCTCCCAAAGTCTTCAGGAGCAGGTAGAGGGGGCTGGGAGTTCAGAGTGGAACAGCTAGTCAGCATCCCTCACCAGGGCCCTACACTGTACCCACCTCCCCAGTGCACAGGCAGTCCAGCTGCCTCCCCTCATCCCCCAAAGCAGAGGGAGCACGGAGACCATTCCCTAGGTGGGCAGAGGGCCAGTTCTGTCTCCACCCTCAGCTGAACCTGCAGCCTGTGGTCAATGCTGGCTCCTGTCCCTTGACTGAAGAATTACTAAGAACCCAATCTTCCTGATGCCATCCCCACACCCTCCCCTGGTCTGTGGAGGACAGACTGACTGCCCTGTTCACAGAGAAACCAGAGACAGGGTCCCTCCCCGTCCCATTCCTTCCCTTGGACCTCAGGGGCACAGCCTCCCCTGGGTGAGCCTGCTCCAGGGCCATCCTTCCCAAGTACAGATAAAAAGTGACCAAGGGGCACCTGAGTGGCTCAGTTAAGTGTCCGACTCTTGGTTTTGGCTCAGGTCACCATCTAAGAGATGTGGGATCGAGCCCCACGTCAAGCCCCACGTCAAGAATCTGCTTGAGATTCTTTCTCCTCTCCCTCTCTCTCTCTCTCTCTCTCTCTCTGCCCCTACCCCCTGCTCATGTTCTCAAAATAAATAAACTTAAAAAAAGAATCTCTCATAACCTCTGACACACCGCAACACATACTCCTTTCTTGGGAGGAAGGGAGATAGACCATTCCCTGGCATGGGGTTCTGGGAATAGACTCTGCCCCCCAGGACGCCTACTTGGCCAGCATCATGGTGACCCCTGCCATCCCAGCTCCTTCCACAAACTCAGCCCCAGGCCTCACTGACTCCACGTGGCACGTGGCTTTCACTTACAGACCCCCTCTTGAGTGTCACAGCAACCCAGTAAGAGTGGCAGAGCAGGAACTGTGAGCATCCCTACTGCCAAGATGAAGAGCTGGGCCAAGGGATGAGCAGGAGTCTGCCCCAGGCTGCATGGCAAGTCACAGCAGTTCCAGGACCAGACCCCAAGTGCCCTGGGCCTATCCGGGTTCTTGTCAAAGCAACCTCCTCCCAGTTGCTGACCTCTTCCATGAAGGCAAATCTCCTCACCTGCCTCTCAAACACTAGGCCCGGCGGTCCTTTGTGGAGGCAGCAAACGATCTGGGACCAGCCTATGGGGTTGCCTCCTCGGGGTCCAGGAGGCCAGGCCAGCCCAAAGCTGCCTCCTCTTGTCCATGCCAACCAGGCTTGCTCAGTACCACCACGCCCCACCTCAATGGGTCCCCTCCGAGGCAGGTACATTGCTGAAAACTACCTCAACTCATACCGTGCCACAGATATAGGACACACACAGTCCACGAGGCACAGCTTCCTGTCCTTTACAGACAGACCCATGTAAAACACAGAAACAACCACTTAGAGATGGACACTAAGAGGGACACACCAGGCAGACAACCAGACACATGCAGTCCTATAAGACAAAGTCTGCTGTCAAATAGGAACACAGATAAAGCAGAGCCACAAAGAAGCAGGAGGGAAACGGGAGACCTCTAAGCTATGCAGTCACATTCTTAGTCATACCTACAGCTATACAATCACACCCACTCCGGTGCTACATAGTCACCAGGTCCCCATGCACTCCCACACTCACAGAGACCCTGGAACACCTGTACACTCACAACCACCCGATTACACCCCAACTCCCTAGGGCAATCTCCCCTACACCTTCACATCCATGCATTTATTCAGGGGTACAACCAGTGCCAGATCACCCCCAACCCAGGTACAACATTCCCTGAGATGTATGCACAGTCAATGCCACGCTTACTCCCGCCTCCTTCCTTCCCCCCGTCCCTCCCAGTGCTGGTCCAGGAATGAAACAAAAGCCCAGCATCCCCTCCTCCCCTTCTCCCCCTCTCCTCTCCCCTCCCCCCTGGCGTCCAGCCCCTTTGTCCTCCTGTAGCTGAGCCGGAGCGGGAGTCCAGGCAGAGCCGCAAGGACATTGGAGCCGGGACTGCCAGGGGTGCGGCAGCAGGACAGAGAGGAGTGGTCAGTGCCAGCGCAGCAGCCACAGAGCACCTGGGTGAGGGCATGGCCAGGTAAGTTCCAGGTACATCCGGGACTTAGACCCTCACACGGCAAGGCTGTGTGGTGTCTACAAGTCTGAATGTGTATTTGTGTGAGTGGCTGTGGATGTGAACAAGAAACAGGGTAGCATGTCAACTTCTAGAGGCTGGATTCCCCAGTTTGCATCAGGACCCTCGGCTGGAGGTGCCTAGATTCTTAGCTGGGATGGGAGAATGCCCAGCAGGGTCCTCCCTGGGAATCCCTACCTTCCATGTTTCAACCGGGTGTCCTCCGGACCCCAGACTGGGAATCTCCAGGGTGGAAACTGAGTCTGATGTCCCAGCATGACCACAGTGCCCAGTGCACTAGACAGCAGTTAGAACGAATGAAAAAGTGAAAAAGTATTGGTGCACTTCCAGGAGAAGACTCCCTCCCTGCCTCGCCAAGCAGCCCCTGTGCTGCAGGGACAAGCCCCTCTTTACCCTGAGGAGGCCTGCCCTCTTGGATCTCAGCTCAGGAGGTGGCTGCTTTCTTAGCAAACAGCCTGCAGAGAATGGAATGGGGGCCGCATGCTCTGCTGACCTCTCTCACCTCCCTCTGCTGATCCTGGGCTGCTCCTTAGAACATCCCCTAACCCTGGCAAGTGTGGCTGAGCAGCTAGGCATGCAGAGTCGGGAGCCAGGTGGGTTTAGGGCCCAGCCCCTCTACTTGGGCACAGTTAGCTTCCTGGGACGCTGCCCGCCGGGGAGCACATTTCTGTCGTCCTGAGACAGGACGATCCAGCGCCAAGGATGACCGGAGCATGAGCAATGAAAGCCAGACTAACACTGGGCAAGATCTGACCTCCAGGGCAATGCAACCTCATGCAGTGAGCTCCCAGTCCCTGGAGGTGTGCAAGCGGAGACTGTATGTTCATAATGGCCAAATCGCAGCCAGCCCAGTACCGCCCTTCAGTCTCTAGAGTGCTTTTGCGAACACCTTTCTTTTCATCCTCACAGCAACCACTGAAAGGCGGATTCCCTGTGTGCTTTTGCTTCCTTATGACAGACTCAAAGAAGGGCAGGGGCATCTAAAGAAATGTTCAGGGTTGTGAGGATCAAATGAAATTATGTACATAAAAGCAACTAACACACCTGGTGCGCTTCCTTCCTCTAGTGTAAAAACATGTAAAGAAATGTTAGCTGAGTTTGTACTATGTACCTAGCACTTTTCAAATTCCACTTGATAGTCCCAAAGTCACAACAATCCTTCTTCAGAGGAAGAAACTGAAGGGGAGTGACTTGTACAGCTCACACAGAGACTCAGTGACAGAGGCAGGATTAGAACCCAGATCAGTCCTTAGAGCTAACTCCATTTCCCCATCGTGCTTCTTGAAAACGCAGAGAACTCACTAGAGAGAGGGCCAACTACCCTCTCAGCGGGGCTCTAGCCTCCTGCACTCTTTCTCTCTGGGCCTTAGCAAAAGTTCTTCTTTAAATGGTGACAAGCTCCCTGCATTGCCTTCCCTTCCTCTGGCTAAGTCCACCTATGCTTCTCGGTCTGCACACCCCTCCTCAGGAACACCTTCCCTGACTCCCCTCCAACTGGGTTTAGTTGGCTATCGGCTCCCACACTCCCCCCGTGGGACCCCCACCAAGCTGTGAGATCCAGGAGGGCAGGGTCTATGACTATCTTGCTCACTGCCTGTCACAGAAAAGGCCCTAAATACATGCTAGCTTAATACATTCGCTCAATCTTAAATAGGTATTAACTGAGCACCTACCACGGGCCAGATCCTGTACTGATGGGGGAAACGTGGATATTAAATAGAAAAATCAAGGCTTGGGGACACCTGGGTGGCTCAGTTGGTTGAGCATCTGACTCTTGATTTTGGCTCAGGTCATGGTCCCAGGGTCATGGGATGGAGCCCCAAGTCAGGCTCTGTGCTGAGCATGGAGCCTGCTAAGATTCTGTCCCTCTCCCTCTCTCTCTCTCTCTCTCTGCCCCCCTCCGCCCCATTCATGTGTGTTCTCTCTCTAAAAGAAAGAAAAAGAGAAAAATCAGGGTTTAGTCAGTGTGGAGCACCCAC